CGATAAGAGTACTACAATGTGTAATTCTAACTATCGTTCAGATCAAATGGGTGTTCATTTTTTATATAATTTGTATTGATGCTGTAGAATTGTAATTTCTTACAATTGGATAAAGCATTGTCCGAATGTCACACTCCACAGATCAAAAGAACAACTAAACCCAAAACCAGAGCTAACGACTCCAAATAATTACAGCAAGATAACTTATTCCGCAAGCAATTTTTCACTATGAAGTAAATATAACTGTTGAAAGTCATGCAATAAATCTGTAATTGTTTCACGTATCTCGCTTAGTATTCCACAATTTCCGTAATTGTGAAGTGTGTAGATAATTGTAAGAACAAGAAAAGAAGCACAAATAGTTGTAGTTATAATACACACAATAGATTATACATATATTTATATTTTAAGGAATCTGATTTCGAGAGCAAGTATCCACACGCAGCTAAATATATAGCTGGTATGCAGTATACTCTTAACTCCACTGTCGCATAAATTACAACAATAACTCTAACAATCAAATCTTCGTGATATCTTAGCAAAGGTAGATGACAAAAAACTTTATCAGCTTTTACGCTGTGCTAAACTATCCATTTAAGGAAAAAGTATCCATTTCATTCATTTATTCCTACAGTTTAGGGGGACTATTCTCAACACCTGTCAGCGGTGTCCCCTACGAACCTCCAGCTCTCACTGTAGAGTCTGCAGAGCCGAGATTGAGTAACAAAGTCCTCACTTCGAAGAGGATTCCCAATCGCTTTCGCGGTCTGTATCGTCTTCATCTCTCAACACATTCCCCTATCACCACTATCATGAAGCTAACCACGATCAGATCAGATGGTAGGGTCGGAGCCCTACTCGTCACCCACCCTTGATCATGGAGGAAAAGCCATCCGATGAGTTTCCGGAGCGTACCCAGCACCCGATACGGAGACGGTGGATTGGATCAAGTCGTCCTCGACTATTACAATTAAGGGAGATATACATGAATATGCGCACCTCATGTGGTCCCGGTGTCTAGGCCTCGCCTGGCCGGGGCTACAGGTTTTTTGAGACTTTTTCCCGCGCACGCAGTTTCCATTGCTACCATTTTTATTTTTTTTGGGTAGAAGGTTCCGTGGAAAAGGTGGCTGAATTCCACGGGTAAATACTGAGCTGAATGGCTATTCATCAAGGGGAATATATCAATGATCTTTCAAGTAACAAAAGAGGATAGGAGCGCTGTACAAGGTGTGGCCTGGGTCAGAGAGGAGCCCAATGTGCTAGATAGTCATAGACTCAAGTAGTACAATAAAACACACACACACTTCCTACAGTTTAACGTCTTATGGGGTGTCTATATACAGAGCTATGAAGACGGTAAGTCATGTTAAGAAGGGAAAAAGCTTTCAAGCAACAAAACTTACTGTTCTGCCCCTTTGAGCCAGCCCAACTAGGTACTGAGGAGGTTCCTTTCAGCCATAACCTCATAAACTTTCTCCAAATTTCAATAACTTCCCCTTTGATCAGAATATTGCTAAGAAAATTGAAAAGAGAAGGCACCTCCTCACTCGGCGTTGGTCTTCGAAGTGTCCGGAGAGTCGGCCCCGATGGTAGTCTCAAGGATGAGGGTCTGACAGTGTTCCACGGGGTGCGTTGTATAGCCTAGTGAAGATCTAGGTGGTGAATGAAGATAATAAATGGGTCAAAGGGATGACAGGTCTTCTCTAGGAAGAGATGAATGGGCAACTAGTTGCAGTAGATGTTACACGTGGGTCTTACTGATGAAGAACTGGGCAATGGATATATGGTCTTCCCGAAGAAGAGATGGGTAAACAAATGTATTGTAAAGGGTAAGTAAAGAAGACGTTGGGTGAGGAGTAAATCTCTCTTACGCTGAACTATTATATACAAGAGTAGAGGAATTTGCCCGCCGGAATTAATCGTAATCAATTCTTGCCAATATCTTCGCATTGATGGCTATGTTCTTGTCCTTCTCTTCATGACTCCCTAGTATATCCTTACATGACGTTTTACATGACTAATTGTATAGGGGAAGCTATTATTAAATTGATGGTTTTAATTAACTACCCCTTCATCTTATCACGAATTAAAATTAGTATTAAAATTCTAATTACGGATCCGTAAAAGGTAGTGCGACTGTAGCGGGAATGGTTAGTGCCGCTGGTGCTTCGACTACCTTCTGAGGTCGTCTCGGGTCTTTTTTGAGTCCTTCAGTTTTCTAACTGGTTACCAAAATAAATCCCCGATCATCAGTCGTTCCGACTGTTGGCATTGGTGCCAGGGTTGATTTTTCGTTCAATATTGCCGCTGTTCGAGATAAAAGCTCCATCCGAGCCTTCTCTACACTTTCCTTGTAGATCTAGAAGGTCTGATACGCTGATTTCAGCCAAAAGCGGTGTTACTTGCCGCAGTACGTACAAGAAACTCTTTTCCTCGGGCAGTCACGGGGTTGATGAGCGCCAGCGCACTCGCCGCCCCTAGCTATTTTCCACACGAGGCCTGTGTGTGTCCCACTGGCTACAGTTAAAACACTGCTTTGGCTGAGCACGTGGTGATCATATTTGCGCGGTGAACAGCATGACATTAGTGACGGGGCCATAGCGAGTCACTTCTGTTTGTAATGTCTCCGACGGGAGGCTGACCAAGAATGATCATCGATTTTGACCGTTTTTTTCGACCGCTGATATTTCTTTGCATCATGTAGCCACCTTATTCGATTTATCGCAAGGCCTGTAATTCGAGCCTTAGTCGCTATCTAAACCTTCCTTATGATAGCGTGATTTTAGGCATCTCTGCCACTTTCATTTCGAGTCCGCAATGAGACACCAGAAACCTCGACGGGAAAGTCTTGCCGTAAAATCTTCAACTCGTGAGATTGTCGAATGTTGAGCACTGCGTCTCTCTGGGACGTCAATTGGACAAACACCTCGAAGCCATTACTTCGTATCTGACGAATAACGTCTGTGCCTTGGATATGATGTTGTGCCTTTGAGAGCAGCTATAGTGGCTATAAGTTTTGGGCGCCGTCGATACTTATTCTTAATGCCGTTTTTGCCAGTTGCGGAGCTACGACCTATGCGTAGGTCCTTTGTGACGGCTTCCCCGACGCCGCGACAGGTGTAGCTTATCGTGCGGAATCTGCGAGGCTATTGTTGGTGATCTCCTCTGCCACTATCATCCTCTCCTCCATTGGAGATGGGACTTGGGACATCGTGGTCAAAGGCTTCATGTGATAATTGAATTCCTCGAAAGCTTCATTAACGTCCTCCATTATTAGTAGGTTCTCCTCATCCATCTTTCCCATTACTATAAGTCTTACCTTTTTCTGTAGTTAACGTATAATTTATAAATTATGATCCCTTGGTGCTAGCTGTACCCTAATGCCTTCGGATTTGTTTGTCGTTGTCGTTCTTTGCGACGCGTCGAAAATACTGGATTACCCACACCAGCACCCACACCCGCCATGTTGTACTACGGAAAGCGAAAAGACGGGGTGGAGATAATGAAAATATATAAATAATGTCAAATTGATGATAAGTGCAGTGTAGAACGCTCCGCAGCTTTCTGGCAAAATTGATTTTCTTTTGGGTAAACGTAATGATTGTTCGACGAATAACTGTATTCATGTTGCACGGATACTTATTTCTTGGATAAAAATAACGAATAAAGAGAGAACGATACTGTCTGTATGCAGCAAATTCAAGCAGATCACAAGGGGAACCGAGAACAGGCACACCAAGAACCGAAAGCTAGACGTTGAAGAATGGACCAGGATTTGTGGCATGGATAATGTGAATGGGAGATAAAAAGATGCCAGTAAGGTGTCCGCGTAATAGGAGTAGAAATACTCACGGAAACGTCCACGGAACGAGATACTGTCTAGTCATCGAGCTTCGGCAGACCCTGAACATTGGAAAGCCGCAAATATTGTTACAGATAAGACAACAGGCAGAAAAAAGATTACCTACAGAAACACACCCTCAAATATCCACCGGAACCTTAGCAGGGCCCAAAGCAGTATTGCAGTTTAGATAAGAAGTGAGCACATTGGTCTCAATTCTTATCTGTATCGAAGGAAAGTCCCCGGAGTGATTAATCCAAAATGTCAGTATGGATATCCGTCTCAAAATGTCAAACATATGGTCTTGGCGTGTCCTCAGTGGGCGATGGGAATAGAAGTGCTTGGAAAGCAAAGGATAGGTCCTACACGGCAATGATGAACAGCTCAGATGATATGGAGAGACTCACAAGATGGATCTTGGCAAAAGGCTGGTTTGAACAGTTCCGGCTCGCAGAAGAAGTAGAAATATCATTGGACGAAAATATGAGACGATGCGGACAAGGGTAGGACGGAATTCATATTATATGAACAGTGTAAATGCACTTTCTGTAGGAAACCTCGGAAATCCAATAGACACGAGATAGATAGTTATGGGGGTTTTCACCGAATCGGTTTCCTCCCTTATAAATATTATAGCTAGATATACCTGAACGGGCTAAATGAAATCAAATCAAAATAATAAAGAGTATCGTATACAGCTAGATAATACTGGAAACGCTTAGCAAAGTATTTTGATAGACTTCCTCTCACGAGTGTACCTAATCATTTTAGTGTCGATCATTAGATAAAGTAATTAGACATTTCTGAGTTTGCAGATGGGAAAATCAATTTTCTACCATGCCCGTGCGTCTGATGAGGCAAATATCTAGAATACAACTTGAACTTTTTTGAATCTAGCGTCAGGAGGGATCTGAGCGACCAATATCTGATGCACTTATTTTGGTGTTAAATTCCTCTATCTACGTCATGTTCAATCATGTAAATCTCATATCCTGTCTATTAACTAGACTTCTTTCATAATCCATTTCGTCATTATTATCAGAACTGTCAAAATAATAAAGGTGCAAAGGGAATATCTACTTCATCAATTTTTCCTTCCTAGTAACAGGCCCTCATTTGTTTTCATCACCTTGCTAATCTCGGACTAATATTTCGTTTACAGCCACACGCTCTCAGAATCAACCTCCTTCTCAACCTCAGAATTTCCAAGAAAGTTAAGGGCGATTTTTGGCACGCTAAGGTCAGCTTTTTTTGGAGGGTGTTTGCAAATAGGCTCTTTGCTCTCCATGTAAGGACCGCATCTCACATCTTTGGTTTCCCATCCATCTTCTTCCGCGGCTGTGACCCAGCAGCACAATCCAGCGTGAATGCTCAAATAAAACTTTTTGTTACAAAGACGAAGAGTACCGCCCATACATTTCTCCCAGCCTGAAACAAGCATCTGTTCACGAAGTGTATTGCGCTGCTCTCTATCAGGGAGACAGGCTATAATACCATTTAAGAGGTCTAAGTGCGATGCTAAATAATTGGTTGCATCCCATTCTACACCTCCTACGTAAGGAGCCGCCGGAATGGGAGGCCGCTCTTGTGGAAAGTGCTTTGACATGTACGAGTAAATATTATTTGGGCTATCGCAGCTTTGTGATATTACTGGTGAATTAGACTGGATCTTGCCTTCACAAGTTACGTTATCTACGCTGTGTTGAGACTCGGAATTTGGAATTACGTTGAGATTATGAAGGAAAATCCAAAAAACTTCTTTCGATACATTGACGACTTCTTTGCACCATGTCCGATACGGACGCGGTCGTCTCATCTGAAATATGAATCCGACAGGTTTTTGTGACTCGCTCGGCTCTGGGTCTTGAAGATAGGAGAGAACACTTCTAGCTCTTTCTTGGCGATTTATGATTGGTGCTGATTTCAGGTAGGTGAAAAGAAGAGACGTTATTATATTACGGGTAGTGAACTCGCTAGGGCCTTTTTTCTCTGCATCGAATACCATATGAAGCAAGGCTGGAAAAAGAGTTATTTGCATATCGTCGAGGTACTTAAGAGCAAGAGCGGTAGTTGAAAGAGCTTTCAAGCATAATAGGGCCTCATGTAAAAGAGCGTCTTCATGTTCTTCTCTAACGATTTGTTAGCAACTTCTTGATCAGGAACTTTTAGACAGACCTCCATTCAATCGCCATAATCCGGTGTAAAAGCTCAACTATTTCTCCCATTCCTCCCTGTTTGATAAACTCATCCGTCCATGATACGGTTTCATTGCGCAGTAAAAGTCGCAATTTATGTAATCGACCAACTTCAACTGACTCAGGTTTCGTGGTCTTTTTCATATACGATACAAAATCATCCGGTGTTTTACCTTTTGTCTTGGCAATTATACTTTGTGCTGCACTTGTACCTACACCAGCAAATAATTTTCCCCTACTCTTGAGGCTCTCGCTAGGTTTTCGATGAGTATTTTTACTGTGTGTAGAATCTGCTTTAGTCTTTTTGAATGATATACCATAGTCTTTGCTTGAAGTTCTAGATATGGTAAAGGTTCGGCTTCTGGGTCTTCTTGGAGTAGGTTCTGGTAATTCATTCATACTAAATGTTAAATTAGCGACTGTGTCTGTATTATTTTTTTCGTTCTTGATCTTCTTGGAGGCAGCTATTTCAGCCCGATCTTGCTTGATAAAATCCTTTTTAAGTGTCATTGCCAGGCTCCGCATTTTGTCACGCTGATGTTCAGGTATGTTCCTTCTATCCAGCATTGCTTCAAATTCCATACTTATGTCATTATCATCAATAATTTTGTGGGATCGGTCTTCCGAAGTTTTGAATACCTTAGCGCCGAATGATGATGATACGGCTGCTAAAACACGTTGGCCTCTATTTTGATTTATTTTCTCTGGCTTTTCAAGCTTTGGTACTGTGAGAGATGACTTTCTCTCATGTATTTGAAATTTCTCAGACCCTCTTCTTATCAATTCTGCACTATTCCTCGAGCCTCCACTAACCCGTCTACTGATATCTTGTATACTTAAAGGGCCAGGAATATATGTCGATCGCGGTCTGAGTGACGTATCGTCACGTTTCCCAAGAGTTGGCTGCTTTCCTGTCTGATAAAAGTTCCTCTGCTTTCCAGGGCTATAAACTTGCGGTGTATATAGGTGAATCTCATCTTCTAAAAATTTATCACTCTCTACCTGGCTTATCGATTCTTCGCATGTTAAGTATTGATAAGTTGGTTCTCGCAACGAAGCCTGATTCTTCTTCTCAGAATTATAGATAGGTGGTTTGTTCTCCTTGTTTTTATCAATCGGTATCTGATCTGGAGTAGCTTCCTTCCTTAAATTTGCATGAGACTTGGGTCGCGATAGTAAGTTCGTGAGGTTGGTGGATGATCTAATTTTTGCTGTCTTTTTTGATTTGGATTCGAGGGCTTTTGCTCCTTTAACGGTATCTTTTTTGGAAGTTGATTTCAGGGAAAGCGAACTAATGGTCTTCTTAAGTGTTTTTCTTCCTGTGTCGGAATTTTCGGGGCGTCCAGGCTGCTGACACTGTTCATTTTGATGTCGCTCTTCAAGGGCCTTGTAAGTTGAATGGTGGGATTGAGGATATTGTGAAGATTCTGGACTCGAAGTTGCAACGAAACAGTCATTCAAGTTCCCAGATAGGACATCTCCAGCCGAGGGTATGCGCTTGTGAATAAACGATAAGTTAGATAGTACTGAAGATTTAGTACGCCTATGTTGGGAGGAATTAGTTACTGATTTGGACGCTATCATGATGACAGGTTCTAATGAGATCGAGAAAATGTTGGGCAGACATCTGCAACCAAATACTGGTCAGTATCATCAATGTGTGGCATGATCCTTCCTCTCGAAGGCAGACGTTGACACAGCAACGGTATATAGAGCTCTAGATATTGGGCTAGCAATTGCGGGGCACCTGTCTAATTTAGTAATTGTGGATAGATAGTCTAGTGGTGGGCCATCTTAATCGGCGACTACTGGGATTGATTTAAAACTCACAATACTCGTTGCAAGCCCTCTACGTAACATGACATGATAGTTATTTTATTCCGAAAGACCCAATATTACTAAGACGAGCAGTCCAAGATAATTAAAAAAACATATAATAAAACAAAATTTATAGGTCAGGCACCCTGCTCCTCGTCTGGTCAACTCGATGCTATTTACCAAGAGATCAATTTCTAAATCAAAGCCTTAGCTTGCACCAATTGTTGCCTCACTGACTGAAGTCATTTTCTCACAGCTTCGTCTAAAGAAATAAACGGAGGACGAAGGCTGAACATCTGTCCACGATGTCCTCTACTAACCTTGTAATGAAATATTCTCTTAGAGCCATGTTTGTCACAATTTTATATCTGGATTAGGAAGTTGGGGCTGTCGACTTGTGGGTAATTGAATCTTTTGCATCAGATTCGAATTGTGTGTGCAGCTAGCTAGCTATAACACTATGTTAGAGGAAGATTACAGAACAGATTACTCTATTTAAAAAAAGAGCACCCATGCCTCAGATTTCATTTGCAAATACTACTGGGTAATGGCTATTGGGACTTAAGCAAAGGACAGAATGGTGTAAGTGACTTGGCATGTTCATGCGTATATGGAAATAATGAGGACAAGGAATACAATCAAGCAATTTTTTCTACAGATTAAAAATACTATTAAGACGATCCTAAATAATTTGAAAAGTTCGGTCATATGTCGCAATAACTAAGAAGTTGGCCCATGAGACAATTTTTCAAGATCTTCCACCAAACAAATCTCTCTCTTGCAACGAGATTTATTCCTGTTCAAGCGTCATCGAGTCTGCAAGTACGAGCAAGTCCATCCTCATCACACTTATTACACCTCCCATCAACTATTTTCTGGCCGCCAAATATACGTACACGCCAATATTTACATCCGACGGAGGAAACAAATCGTGGCGCACAAATCTAGGAAGCAGTTCTATGGGATGGAATTGAGAGGGATAAGGAGAAGTTTACAAAATGATGCAAATAAAGAATACAATCTCGACAGGTGTGAGACTTGAGATTTTAGCCATGAGATTTACAAATTGGATTGCATTCTACCCGCCAATATTTCGGTTGCGACAGCGCAGCTGACACTATAAAAACAAGCCAACAATGGAGGGTGCCGTGGTCCCCCTCCAGATGGTTCTCTCTGGTAGAGTCTTAGTTGCCTGTACACCTACTGCATTTGGGAAGGAGAAGCCTTAGACCACATTTCGCGCAGAGAAAAATAAGCGGATGACAGAGGCATGTCTGGATAACTCATGGGGTTTGAGACGTTCCCCTGATTGGGTATTCACGGATGAGGGTTGACTTGGGATGAAGAAAAAGCCACCATAACTTCGCAGTGGTACTTGCAAATGAAATACGAGGCATGAATGCTATTTTTAAATCAAATTATTCATTCTATATTTTATCTCTAATATCATGTCATTACTAGATAACTGCATATCTTATCAAAATATGATGCAAAAAAATCGACTTATGTACCGCCAACTCGGTTCCAGTCACATATTCACTCTCAAATTAAATAAATAGTAGCACTTATCAGAGGCAGGATGGTAATTATGGCTATTTACAAACAAAATACTGCTATCTAACACATATTTGCAACTTTCTAGAGCGTGAGCAACTCTCACTAACAAGGTTTCTAGTGCCGTCCCAACGCTTCTTTTAAAATAATTAAATTTGTACAAACCGTCACATCACTTTTTCAGCAATGGAAACGGCCTTTGTTTTTAAGCGGCCATGTGGCTGCGGCAGCCAATATCCCCTGCCAATGCTTGGATCTATTACTCCTTCACGTAGAGAGTGACTACGAGAGCCATGTCAGAGCCTAGCTCTAAGAGTGGTCGTCTCTATTGTCATTTATTCCAATCTAGTACTACCATTTTCTCCGGCTTTATCATCCTCCGCACCAAATGTAGCTTCTTTCATAAAAGGGCTATGTTTTCTGATATTCTCGCCGAAGAGAATCATTATAACAGGCGCAAGTGTTAGTATTAGTGCAATAAACCCTAGCATGCTACTTCCCCATTGAGTACCTAGTCTAGCGTAAATAGCTGGCGAAGCCAGTGGCAAGAAAGCTCCGAAGGCGTTACGGCCAAGAGAAGCTGCGGATAGAGCCGACGCGGCATATTTTTCGTACGAGTCGGACAAGTAATTTACCACCGCCAGATAAATACTGTATATGCCCAAACCAACCAACCCGACGCCAAACAGAGGCGCAAACCAGAATATATTTGGATAACTCGCCCAACCATAGCAGATTATTCCAGCAGTAAAGAGTAAGCTACCTGGAACGCTCGAATATAGCCTCGATTCGGGTATGGGCTGGCCATCACTAGAACGTGCCGCTGATCGCAGGTAAGAACGATCCTGTATAGGGTTAATTATAGTGGCCACAATAGCTCCAACCGAAATAGCTAGTTGTATTAAAGATGTTTCGAACTGTCCCATGCCATAATTTTCACCAAAAGTTTGTGGTATTGAAGACTGAAAAAGGAATAAGAGTCCCCATGCAAAAGATACCCAGACCGTCTGTGAGAATACGACCCATTCTGTGCATAACATTTTTATAGGACGCTCACAAGATATTCGTAATCGGCTTTGAAGAGAAGATATTCCAATCTCTGTGCTCGCGTACTTTGGGTCCTCATGAGGATTTTCCCGCCTCCATTTCTTTGCTTCTTGGGCTAAGATGATATCACCCCTTGTTTCGACAAGTACGAACCAACATATTGGCAAATACGCTCCATTTATTAAAAGAAGTATCCAGTATATCCAGCGAAATGAAAGGTGTTCGATGACTAAACCTCCGAAGAACGGACCTAGAGCTATTCCAACCACAGAGGTGGTACCGAACAAGGAAAGTGGGAAACTTCTTTGTTCTGCACCCTTCCAGATATCAGAAATTGTACCACCTACGATATTAATGGCGACCGAAGAAGCACCACCTCCAAAGAAACGACAGAGTATCATTGTTCCAAAGTTTTGTGCCAGAGCACATGGAATTAAGAATAAGAGGAAGACAATATATGCTCCAAAGTATCCTGGTCGTCGGCCAGAAGATTCTGTAAGAGGTACGAAAATAAGCGGTACAAGCGCAGCTCCTACATTCCATGATGTAGTGGCCAGGTATAGGTACGGAAATTTTTCATTTGGTATGCCAAACAATCTAGACATTTCGTAATTTCCGGCACCATAGGCCCCAGCTGGAAGGCCAAACAAGACGGAACTGTAATAATGAGGAAGTTAGAAAACATTGCGTCATTATGATATTAGAGAGAGATAAACTTACACTAAAAGCACAGCTACAGTTATTCTCCATTTGCGCGCACGCGACCAATTAAATGGGTTTCGAGTATCATTTTCATTATCCCAGTCAAAATTTAGCGAACCATCTAAGTTGCGTGGTGGGGCTCTCTCGATATGCTCCATTTTCCCTATACATATATTAGACAGTTTCCTTGTGAGTAGGCTCAAAGTTAAAGGTTTGTTAAACTAACCACATACCAGACTATGTTAATTATGATATTTCTGATTTATAAGATATAGGAACAAATGCGAAGTGTTTAAGAAAAGAAGCTGTAGTAAAAGATTAAAAGTCCTTCACCGATAACGCAGACTAGAGATATAAGTTAAGCAGAATTAATTTTCTTAAAACATATTATCTCCACTTTGGCCTATAACACATGCAACGAACTAATAGTAAGAGTCAAAGCAAGCTTGTGTGGTATTAGAATAAAATGATAATCGATAAACTAGGCTATTGGTGCATAGACGTACTAAATTCCATGAAATAGAGGCCTTGGGGTACTATTACTACAGACTCAAGCCAGAATTTTACGAGCCATTTTTGTTACCAACATGATTACAGACATAAATACTGGAAGGCTTTTAGGGGATTATTGGCATTAGTAGAATTCGGGAAGCTATCTGAAAGAATCATTATTGGAATAAATCAAATAAAATTGGAGACTCCTCATAAAGATCATAATACTCATGTAAATCTGCTCGAACCGCTTTGCACATAAAAAAACCGACTCTTTTTGCATAATTAGTGGGTAGAAGCTCAGTCATAGTGGGGCCTAGAATATCTAGTGTGGTCCACCTATCGATAAGCAACGCACGAAATACCAGCTCAAAAGTAGTGCAGCATACCGATGATCTAAATATCACACTTATCTTAAGTAATATGGTCATAAAGACCTCAAGCTATCCTCTTCAGATTACGAAGACAGGAGCAAGAAAGAATCACATTAATAAGTTGTTAATCGTCTACAATGGCTACTTCATCAATATTTTCACCAATTGGTCTAGTTTATCCATAGTTTTTTGAAAGGTGGAGACGTCTATATCCATAAATTACTGATATTAAATTTATATTCAGCGTTGAGAATAAGTTTCCACACAATTAGAAAATCTCAAGGCTAGACTGTCTTAAAATAGAATAAGTAAACCTCAAATAAATTAGTATCTTTGTAAACTTAAGTATTAATTATTAATTATTAGAGGTATTTGAAGTAGGAGTAGAAAATTCAAGCTCGCTACGATTGACATAAATTCAGCGCGAAATTGGGAAATATTTAGTGTATTGTTTTTTAATGTGGAAACCCAAAGAATGGACAAATATCAGTATGAAATTTAAAGAATCATACTATTCCTACTTCTGAAGTAGGCTCCTCTCTGTACAATCATTATTGTCGATGGATACAATGATGAATATAGGTCACGCCAATTATATTATGAAACTGGGCTTATCATAACTCTCTCTACACCTCCTACTTTACTACTATTGATATGAAGCTTTGATGGTCGTTTTAATTTTTCATCTATTAGCCCCAGAATTCAGACTAATAAGCTATTCTCTTCCTGCCAGTTCGGGATTCTCAATCAGCACGGCGCCCAAAGGTCTTTGTGAATTCTGACTTTGGCCCTTTACTGCGTTTATAATATCCTGTGTGCTTCCAAGAAGTGATACTTGGCATTCATAACCTCTTTATACAGGAAGTTAATTACAGCCGTCTATATTCCCAGAAAAACTTACAGGATATAACCCCACTTTCACAGGGCGTAACGAGATGTAGGGGCCCTGACTTGAGCACTGCTGCTGACTCTCAAAGCCAGGGTGTCAGTGGGGCCGTATGCTAGTCGAGTGTGCCCTATTTTCTGGGATTGGATTGGTCGATTATTTTACGACTATTTGCCTATCTCCTGGGAAGTCTGTATATCTTGCTGATGACTCGCGTTTGCTATCAGATCTATCATGTGCTTAGGTTCCGCCCATCCCTTGCGCTTACAAACGAACAGCACTAGTACCCTGCCGCTTAGACTTGCAGAATACTCTTTGGAGATAGCATGCAGTTTGTTTGTCTAGTATTTGACGCCCTACAAACAGTATCTTTCACGCCCACTCCATAATGATAACTGGGAGTGAAAACTCACCACGTCACGGGCCGACAGGCATCGAGCGTATGATGCGACGGCTAGCAAACTAATTGGATGCCTTTGTCCCTGGTATCATGTGCAGGTTAATTGGGTACTCCAGCTGTTAGTGTTACGGGCATTCCAAGTCGCTTATTGCTCCGTGCGATAGTCCCGCGGAGATCAACTTCACTGTTGAGGGTAGACCCAAGCTTGCGGCGAAGGAGGCAAGTATTTTTTGAATGAGTTGATGTGTGATTAGCTGCCTTGATACGACACGTAATCAGTGCTGTGCGTACATGTTCTATGACCCCACTGGCCTCCAAGGATTCAACATTTTGGATTTCATTCGTAAATACCACTGTGAGGTACGTTTTTTTGTGTTTTTGTGTGTGTTTTTTATTGTGCTACTTGAGTCTATGACTATCTAGCACATTGGGCTCCTCTCTGACCCAGGCCACACCTTGTACAGTACTCCTATCCTCTTTTGTTACTTGAAAGATCATTGATATATTCCCCTTGATGAATAGCCATTCAGCTCAGTATTTACCCGTGGAATTCAGCCACCTTTTCCACGGAACCTTCTACCCAAAAAAATAAAAATGGCAGCATTGGAAACTGCGTGCGCTGGAAAAAGTCTCAAAAAACCTGCAGCCCCAGCCAGGCGAGGCCTAGACACCGGGACCACATGAGGTGCGCATATTCATGTATATCTCCCTTAATTGTAATAGTCGAGGACGACTTGATCCAATCCACCGTCTCCGTATCGGGTGCTGGGTACGCTCCGGAAACTCATCGGATGGCTTTTCCTCCGTGATCAAGGTTTGGTGATGAGTAGAGCTCCGACCCTACTATCTGATCTGATCGTGGTTAGCTTCATGATAATGGTGATAGGGGAATGTGTTGAGTGATGAAGACAATACAGACGGCGAAAGCGATTGGGAATCCTCGTCGAAGTGAGGACTTTGTTACTCAATCTCGGCTCTGCAGACTCTACAGTGAGAGCTGGAGGTTCGTAGAGGACACCACTGACAGGTGTTGAGAATAGTTCCCCTCTTCAATTATTACCCTTGTGCATTGTTATCTTGACTATCACCAGCACAAACCCGTCTCCTGTGAGATAGGTATCCGGTCTACTCAACCTATGCCGGATATAACCATCAGAAAGCGGGCCACAGCGCCTTCTATTGTTGAAATGTTTTCATAGTGCCAGCTGCACTCTCCCAGTCTAAGCCTTGGCGTGCACAGTCGTATTCAATTTGAAAAACTCCTGGCCAGAATTCAAAATGACTCGCCCGTAGACATAATATCCAACGTCAACATCATCTTATAAACTTGTCCTGATTTCTCTCACGTCCATCCCAAAGAACTGCCTCAAAGATTTGTGAGACACGATTTTTAAACTTTGTAGAATGAAGGCAACGCTGACATCACCATGGTTGGGTGGTGTTGTGGTATGTTATGTGTGCAGATGTCCTAATAAGATTCCGAAAAGCTTTTGCTCCCATTACATTTGATCAAGGGGATTTTTGGTGAAAATCTAGCTATAATCGACCACATTTCACGTGGTGCCGGTGTTCGTGGAAGAAGGAGTACTTGGATAATCAATGACTTTGAAACTTTCCTACGGTGGATATTCACAGAGGAAGTGTTGGAAATCGAGACACAGAGTGTTGTGGACGTACGGGCCCTCCATTTCGTCTAGGTTCCCGACACGATCTCGTGTGTATTTAAGAGGTTGGAATAGGTAATATGGTAGCGCTTCCGGCTGCCTATTGGAGATATGAGTGGCTGTATGGCGTGGGCACAAGGAGGTTATTGGCGGTTTTCTATGTCTAGATGGCGCCACACTCGTTTATGCTGTGGCTTAGGCTCTGTGTCGCTTACACTTGTACTTGTAGCGCACACTTCCCACACTTTTAGCTGTAATCCGAACACGTCTCTTTCAGTCAACTTCTACTTTCGTTCCATAAATTTTACGCCCATTTCATTGCGTGATATTTCTAACAGGAAGGTCGATCGTTCAGCGCAAGCAAAGAAGCCTCGCAGTTGGATTTGCAAATGAAATCCAAAGTATGAGTAGATTAGATTAGATTCGATTTTATTATAGTCTTATCTGAGTCTATGACTATGGAGGACTTCTAGGATATACCTTAAAGAAACTAGCTAATTTTGATTTATTTAAACACGATAAATTGAATTTTTTCTTCTAGATAGTGAGGAGCAAGTCCTAAAGTATGAGTATTTCTAACGTCAAAAGAGTCATCCAAAATGTACAAATAGCACTGATCCTGTGTTATAGTGAAGTAGATTAACTAGAGTTATATGAATTAAAAAAAGCCTTTTCGCATTAAACTCCTCTCATGCGCCCTTGTAACGTCCACGCCAATTTCTAAGATGCATCAGAACTCGAGAGTATAATCACACAACAGGTGATTTTCATAATGGAATGTAATAGAAATAAATTTAAGTCCCTACTGAGTCTATGACTATGAAGGACTGATAAAACTAGACAATACATCACCAAAATTCACTTATTTTTTTCATAATGGAAATTAACCCATAAATCAAGGAACTAGTTAGATAGATCCTCAAGTAGTCTTTCAAAGTCTAGAACCCAGAAGAGAGTTAAATTTAAATTAATAAATCAATCTGATGGAATTTAGAATAGTTGGGGCTATCGAATAGGCCATGTTGTTGATACACACGTGACTATAAAAACTGTACTTGGTTTCACTTCGGTAGTTACGTAAATCAATACGCTCTACAACTTCAATGACTGAGGGGTCATTAGTTCCTTAATAAACAATAATTTTATATAAATGCTAGATTGCGAATTACGCCCTCAGGGCTCCATACATGCAATGAGTAAGGCAATGTAAGTGTATGTATGTATGTATTCTATTCATATCAGGCAAAAGCCCTACACCCACGAGGCGTGATCCGGGTATGTGATCCATGCGGACTCACTACTACCTACATGAAGGGCATTTCTTGCCAGAGAATCTACATGA